AATAATTATGAAATATTCAATTGAAGTTTTATTCATAATAAATATTTTTTATAACTAATTCAATTATAATACTTTAATAATCTTTTATTAATTTAATAAATGATATTAATAGATTTTCTAATAATAAAAACTGTAACTATTTGATTTAGTTACTTAATAATATTAACTAACAGTTTATCGGTTTGAATTGTGATTTAATTATTTTTCTTTGAAAAAAATAGAGTATTATCATTGAAAATCTTACACAATAATGTGACTTATAGCTTGTATGATAAATCATGTTAGTAAGAAATAAGTAAATGAAAATGCGATTAAATGAATCATGATTAATGTAGAATATGTACATTGATTGTTTAATGAACAGTGACAAACGTCTTATTTTTCTAGTTCTAATAGGTAGAGTTTAGTCAATACTAAGAACTAGATAAACATGACATTTGCCATTGTTCAGTGATCAACCAATTTAAATATTGCAATCTAATGGAAAGTTAGTCACATCCCCAATAATTCAATGCTAACGTCTCAAACTATGGAACTGAGTGACTCAGGTTTGGTTTATTCAGGAAGCATCAGTTCCTTCAAAATTTCAGCTATGCCTTGCTGAAAAGAGCCAAATAGTCAGAAACCTGGCTCTGAAGTCTTCTACTGACTGCTCCAAAACATCTAACAACGTTACTATCATGTATTAATCTAAGTTTTAAAAATTATCGTAAATAATGCCAACGAAATAGCAATACAAATAACGTTAGAAGACTAAACATAAGAGAACTAGTTATGAAAAAAGTATTCTATAATATTAAAACCCCAAATTCACACTAAGTTTGAGAAAGAATGAATAAGTCTGAATCACTGTCACTAATTCTAAAATGTATCAAATTAAGATCAACAATTTATTACAGTTAGCTAGCGAAATACGTCAACGATAATATTCATCTGAGAGATGGCCCTAACCAATAGTCTTTAAGTTGTTGAAATTATGTTCAACATAAATAAAGGTCTACAACAATAACTGATTTGCAATCAATAATTAACACTTCATCCTTAACCTTAGTACCACTCATCCAGTGTTTCCATCATAAGCTAATAACACTTCGAAGACACATATTTTCAAATATTTGTGACAACAAAATATCTTAAATCCTCAGAGGCAATGCATCACAGATAGAAGATACTATCGAGTGAATTACTAAGAGGCACACACTGTCTTTGATTCAGAAGTGGATATCTTCCATTTAGCTGGTGGAGAAATGTTGGTGATAGCTAGCCGAGCTTTGCATGCCAGCATCCATATTTTGAAACTGTTAGAACACCATGATTTAAGAGGCTCTGAAATTGTCAATATGTACAATTACTTCACTTCATTTGTTCAGAATTAACACTGGTTTGGACTAGTCTTGGAGCTTTTTTATGTATAGAAGAAGGGAAAAACACTCGTAACATAATCACATGCCTTAACCTAAGTCGGTAAAGTCGATGTATAACTTGATCGATTGGTACTATTAAATAACCAATTAATGTAAACAATCTCTTTAAGTATTTTACAGAACTTATTACTTTCTAAATTATATTTTGGTTTCACTTTATCTGGAAGAAGTTATTCCTTGTTTTTTTTAACCTTATTCATTTACAAGGTTTTAATGGCTTTATCATCTGCATCACTTGGTTTAATGTTGTTATTTTTAACAATACCAAGAAATAAAGAATATTTATTCAATGGAAACATGAATGAGAATGGGGAATTTGTAATGCATTTAACACCATTATTAAAAAATGACAGTCAAAGTAATTATATGGAGTAAGCGGAATTAAATATTTTTTCTTAACTACGTTTTACTTCGTGTATTTCTTTTTATTATATATATAATTATAAATATTGTAGGGGGGGCACTTTTAATGAAGTAATGTTATTCTATCTGATAGTGTAAATCATTTCTTTTTTGAAAATCTTGTCAACCATTGACCAGTCTAACATAGTAGTTTAGAGTATGATTTTCCGTCGTTAATGTTCAAAAATGCATTTGATTGGTCACGGTGAACAGATTAATAAAACAGGTCACATCATGAGCATAAATGTGTAGAAAAAATATTTTACTTCCATTTAGTATATTACAGATTCAGTCATTCAATTTTTACCAAATGATTCAGGAGTTACATGTTACACATATAAATCTTCTGTTCTAGTTGCAATTTTCTTATAAATTAACAATCCCGATTTGAGCAATCAAGAAAGTAACAGTTGTTAGCTTCTATAATAATTTTTGAAATCTATTGACTTTCTATAGAACGTATCTTTAATCAAGCCTATAATACAGCTATTCTAAAATCTTTAGTTACAAATCATATTAAAAATCAAACTTCAATGTTATTTAAAACTAATTTAGATTAAAAATTCTATGAACGATCATTATAAATTAACTTTTGTCATAATCAAGGTTTTATCTCAATATAGTTGTAGATATAAAATACCACAAAATTTCCGTTAATCACAAGTTGACAAGCCGTGACCAGTGGAGCTAATCCGTATCGGGTGGAGACTGGTATCTACCCTAGTACAATCGAAGATGGTCGCGCGATTTCGTGGATTGGTTGGTGTTAGACATTAATACCATTAGATGCCGGCTCAGTTGTCCAGTAGGTTAAGCGTTTGCGCGCGAGACTGAAGGCCCTGGGTTCAAATCCTGCGAGCGGGATCGTGGACGCACGGCTGAGGAGTCCCACAATAGGACGAAACGGCCGTCCAGTGCGTCCGGGTTACCAACGGTGGTTTAAGATCAATCGGTTCATGATCTCAACCAAAAACTTGATAATCTCCACAACTGATAATTACAAGATAAATCGATTATTTGTCCAGTAACTATTGAACATTGTTTCAAAAGTGTTTTTAAACCTTAAGAAATGCTTAGAGAAATTGATGGGAGAAAAATAAAATCAACTAATGTTCTTTTGATCGGTGTTGTTCTTAGCCTTAACTAAGTAAATATAGATAGCATGGTGGCCCAAAACTGTTTCATTTCATAATTATCAATACCTACTTGTGAATAAGTTATTTTTATTTTTATATACTATGAAGTATCGATCATATCTACCGCTAGGCGTTCACTGATGGAATATGATGTTTTAAAAAAAATTAAGATGATAAAAAAAGTATGTCTTTTCACAATACTACATTTATTTCCAGTAGTATTCAAGTTTTATTTTGAAAAACAAACGCCTGTACACCAATAGTAAACATACTAACAAATGCCATTTAAAACGTAATTCGTAAAACCGGTAAAATGTTCATTTCGCCTTCAAAGGATACGGATTACCTTAACAACGTGTAAAGCATTATAATTGCAATAATTATTAAGTGATTTTCAAAATATTGTGATATCATTGGAACCATGAACCGATCCAAATTCAACAACCAATTAAAATGCGGAAGCACCAGACGGTTGTTTCACCCTGGTATGGGAGTAGAACCCAGGACCTTCGACCGTGCGCACAAACACCTAACCTCTAGACCACTGGGTCCACATCAAATGGTGTTAATGTTTAACTCCAATCAATTCATGACTTGGTGCTGTACTCGACTCCCGCGTGCAGGACCTTCGATGCACACTTCTTGTGTCTCATACCAGGATGGAACGGCTGTCCAATGCTTCTAGATTTCCAATGATGATCCACCTTAGATCGATTCATGATTTCAGTGAGATTTAACAATCTCCACAAGCCCTTACTGATTATTTTGATTTCATCAGCATAAATACTATTTCACTAATAATGAGTTATTAAAACAGTTTGAAAGCTGTACTAGTTTTATGACATCTTTAGTGTAGATATTTCTAAGTCTAATCCTAAATCAAGTTGCTCGCGCCTACTGTGGCAAATCTATTAGTGCAGTAATCTAATAATTTAGTTTATTTGTCTCAACAAACAACAGTCGATAGCCTAAATTAGAATTGTAGATTTAAACGTATATTCTCCATGATATTCATGAGAAAAGCATTGATGATTTAATCATGAATTGACGAACTTATTTCAGTCACATTACATATTCTATAATGTTATTACATATATTATGTTGACTAAAATGACTACTGTTATTATCAAAGTCATATTTTCTCAACAACGATTACCATAATGAAGGATTTTTATGAATCAACTAACTACTTTTGCACTGTACATAATATAAAGTTGTAAACGTATTACCGAACTGAATGTAAAGTTTAATCTGTGTAACTGATACTTTGGTTCGTAAAGTAAGTTTATGTTCAGATTAGACTAAGTTTTAGTTATTTCTGAGACAAAGTTAAATCACTGATTCAAGTTATGTCATGTTTTTCAACCTTCCTTTTTCAATTAAGAATTAACGAGCCTAGATTAAGTACAATTCCTAGCAATAAACAACATGATCTCCATGTATCTAAACTGAAATGTTTTCTGATCTCTTTATTTATCTAATATGATCTAAATGGTTTTGTTCGGCTCATAAGATTAGTTCCAAACCTTCGCTATCTCATTTATTATAACACCTCACCATTTATTTGTCTTCTCATGTTACAGCTACCATTTCTAAATTGTAGTTTCATTTCTTTCTTTTGGTGGTGAGTTTTCATTATAAACTGGCTCCACTCTACCTAAAATACAAAAACCTAATGATTTTCTGAACTCGATCATTGACTACCATAAACTGACTTCAATCAGAAAACCACTAAAAAGAAGTTTTGAGAACCTTCAAAATAATGTCTTTTCTGTTCAGAGACTTTTTTGCAACCCACATACACACAATTCAAAGCACTGTTAAACCCAGGACCACTCAATTAGTACAAATTGAGTCCAAATTCTTTTCCAAAACTGTCTTAACTGACATTTCTACACAGTTTACCAATATATTTGTCTCATTCACGTGCTCTAAATGAATTGTCACAAACATACTTGCATCCTCGAAAACGTTTGGAACACATGAAATACTTTTAAGGCTAATAAATAGTAGCAATTTAATTCAGAATTAAACAGTGTTTAGCTATTTCCAATATATACAATTTTTATCGATTAGTTTACAGATATATATTGGAGTTTTCATTATTGAATTGCCCAAATACATATTATCCGATTATTGAATGCCATTTTGGATTGATACCGAAGTCCAAATTTTAGTCACCATGATATTAGAAATATATCGAGAAGAATGTCATACTGTGTGAATTATTCATGAACGAATAACCGGTTGATAAAGACTTTCAGTGAGTGTTCGTTATATCCGTCTCCTTACGACTGTCTTACGTAATTAGTATCCTAGTTTCAAGAGTACACAATTTATTTCAGCTTATAATAAAAAACTGACTTATATCTAAGAAGTGGAATTCACGGTACCGTCAACTAATAATCGGACTTAATATTATGCAGTCAGTGTTTTTATAAACCTACTAATATTTACTAGTATACCGAAGTATATTTCGACGTCTTTTTAACGCAATGTTTTCTTCATGAAACTATAATTAAATATGAACTCGCTGAAGGTTAGATAATACCAAGATGCAATATTATAGGCACATTTTTTCCTGAATCATAACATTCATTTCGTTACTGTCTTGTTTTGAATCGTTCTGATTGTGCACTAACACTACCTTTTTCCAGAGGTTTAGTTTTTTAAAAGAATATTAGACCTAAGTAATCAACTGAAATTTAATATGCTACAGAAAACCTGTTGAATCACGGCTTCAAATATTTAGAAACCATATACCAGTTACTTAACAATGAAAAAGTAATATAATGAAAATTTGAAAATTAAGGTAAATATGTTTGCATGGAGATTTATTTTTATTTAAACTATCAGTAGAAGAAGAAGCCGACTCCACTGAAACTGTAGGGATATCCATTATCTTCTATAAGTCGTAACAAATCCTAATTAATTAAAATTTACAGTTAAGATAAATCTTTTTCATTGAAATCATGAATCGATCCAAGCTAGTCAACCAATAAAAACTCAGAAACATTGGATGGTCGTTTCATGACAGTATAGGACTCTCCAGCAGTGCATATTCACCATCCTGCATGCTGGGATCTAACCATAAACCTTGTTTCACTCTCGAATACTTAACCACTAGAACACTAAGCCGGTATCCAATGCTGTACAATTAAACTGAGCAATTTCTACCTATTGATATCAATAATTAACAGACACCAAACATAATCAATAACATTCATAATTTGAAATAAAACTTCATTGTTCTTATACCAGTTTGTATACAATTAGAATGAAACCTATTATAGTGACTTCCTTGATCATATAGAAGCTTGATTATTATTCAATATTCATGCTGTATGTGTATGAGTATAATTTACTCTGTATTGTATATCCTGACTCGGCATTTGGGTTTTTCATCAGAATTATCATGTCTTTTCATTGGCATTTCTGTAGAATGATCTACAGATCCTCATATAACTGGTCTTTATAACCTCTACCATCATCGGTAGTGGGTGTGTTGCACTGGATGACTGCTCTCTTGAACTTAGTATCCTCTGTACATTAGGTTGTTTCAAATGAGTTTTATTTATCCTAAGCAGAGCCAAAACGCATCTTCTTATTTCAGTGTATGTTTGAATGACTCTACCGATAACATATAATTCGGATTTCTCATCTACTCAGCCTGTCAGAAGTTGTGTTGGCTTTGTAGCTTCCATAAAATCTCGGGCTTCATCACAAAGCCTAACAACTCTTTTAAATGAAGACCCATCAACTCTCAGGGCGAAGTTTTATTGATTTTCACTGGTTATTACGTGGTGTTGCCAATCCCACTCCCAACACTCCAACGATACTCAGAGTTGATACTAGTAGTGACCCCACAAACGATTGAGGAAGAATGTATGTATTTCATAAATGATTTATGTTAATATGACTAAATTTCACGTATTCAATGGACTTTTCAACTATTTGACAGGACACTTTTTATTGATGGATTAAATATACCGCCATGTTGGCCAATGGTTTTAAAACAGTGTACATCCAGTGAAAATCTCATTATATCAGAAAAGAATTATTACCTAAAAGCTTTTAATTCTCACAAATTATCAAGAGTTTATGTTGGAGATAAAAATCATTCATATCATCTGTCAATACATGTACAACAGAAGTTCCCAATTAATAAAACAATTCAACTTAGTTGTGTAGAAATTGAAACATCGGATGGATCTGATTGTGCGCCACTTGTTTGCGAGCATATACGTAAGTAGAGCTAATTACTCCACAAATATTAAAAGTTTCCTTTCATTCTGTTTAGTATGGGCGTAACCAACTCTTGTTTGAATTATTCAATGTTTGTAATTAATTTAATGCAGGCAGATGACTATAATTAGATAATATTGTGCTGGCCATAGACTGACTTTGTTGAGATAGATAGACAGACACCATGAACACCGAGCCTGTAAAGGATCAGCAGTGACCTAACTCGCCATACTACACTATCACAATTAGATAAAAATAACAGGGTTAATGATAAAATAGATCAAAAATGTAGTGGCAATTATGATTAGAAAGACTATATATTGACAATATGATTCGAAAAGGCAAAATGGAAAGGTATGTATGAAAGAGGGATTGAATTTAAGACCGAGAAGAGAAAGAGTAAATGCATTTTCATGCTTATAAAAATTCAGTCTCCAGCTACTTCTACACCCGTCGAAATAGATTATGGTTATGTACTTGTAACACTCGTTTCGACCAGCTCAATTGATACAGGCTTACAACCTTATCAGTTGGTATGCCACCTTTCATTGAAATCAAGTCTTTCTTGACGTCATGATTTATTGGAAAACAGGGATAAAAATAAAATTCACAATTTAATCTCTAAAAGCTGAAATGATTTTACTCATCACTTTAAAAAAGCTATTTCAATCAAGTTTTAGCAGTTTACTAAGTGATAAAATTGTTCATCAGAGTAGTTTTATCCTCTTGATCAATACATTATTTGTTTCGAAATGTTTGAGTTAACAGTTAATTTTCAAAGCACATATTATGGATTGATCCTAGTTAGAATACGGCTGAAAAACTAAAAGCAATGGATGGTTTTTTCATCTCTTTAGGGGACTAATAACGAGTTCGGATTGATTACCTTTTTATGAATCGAACCCAGGACTTTCGATTTCTTCGAAAATGATCGACCTCTAGATTACTCGGCCAGTGAGCAATAGTATGCATGTCTAAATCCAATCAGTTCACAACATTGCACAACCATCCCCCATTCTCTTGGGTCGGTACCCAATTCACACTAAAGAGACTTACACTCCACCGGTCACAGGTTCTCACTAGGACCCCTAGGATTGCATCTAGAAGTTAGACACTAGTGGGGTTGTTGATTAAAACCGCTGAGGTCCATACTAGGACGACAAACCTGTTCGCTGCTTCTTGGTTTCTGGTGGAGCTTTAACTAAGATTAGTCCATGATGTAAATTGTGATAATAAAATAATCTATTCTAACCGTTATTCTGTATGTACATAATTTTTTTCTTCTTTTCAAGGGAATTGCTGAACTTACCTTAATAACTAAGAATTTATTCTAATGTCTTTTTTTTTAATTTTTAACATCTGAATGAAGATTTTTAGAGCTTTTTTAATGGTATATTTATCGGTTGATCATATAGAGTATGAAACAATTGTGTATTAGCTTAAATTGTTACACTTCATATTAGTAGATAGATAGTAATGAAAACTAGGACAAAGAATTCAAAAATAACACTATTAGCATTGGAACGTGGAACATACAAAAATTTAAAAACAAACAAATGAAATAGAAATATGAAGAGTATCCACTGACATTGAGCTTTAGACTTAGCGTCAGATAAGAATTGATGCTGTGATTAATTCCAGTCTATTTCATTTAACATCAGAATTACAATATATGTCAGTCAGTCAGCTACAAGGTAGGACCAGGCACATATGTGCATCGGTCCAAGTTGCATATGTATATTTTATCCAACACTACATAAAAACATAATAAGGATTCTGATGTTGTGTTCTCTGAGCTGGATGGTTTATTAAAGTCAGTGTCAACATGTGAAAGTAATAACCACCGTATAATGATAAATTTAGTTAACTTGTGTGTGCTACTTATATTGACATAAGTAGTATATGATGTTAGTAGTAAACAGAAGGTCTGGAAGTAGAGAGACAAGAGGACCGAACAGTAAAGAATGGAAACAAGATACAATTTGTATGAAAATGCAAGAACAAAGAAGTCTGAGTCATTTTGAGACAATCGATGAACATTTTGCAAATTAAGCATTTACTTTATGATTGCTAGATTTTATTCACAAGTCCTGTAATTATGTGTTAAATACATTCGATTGTCCCCACTCGTGTTCTGTTCACTACAAACTGACTTCATATATAAACAATTAGTTTAAAACCCTAAATTAATATATCACCAGTCATTTTTTCTTACATATGTAGTACTTCACTAGGAATTTTAGGTTCTGTATTTTCATTATTTTTATTAGTTTGCAAAAACTAAACTTTTGTGATATTCCTGCAAACTAACGTTTATGTTTGGTCTATACATAGAGACTGAATTCATTAAGTGTGGTGATTGAACTTACAAAATTCAGATATGATTTCGATAGTTGAAATGGCTGATCAGTGTGAGGATCACGTAGCTTTATCTAATTATTAACTGTTTCCATTCAATTCAATTAATCAGTCATCTATCTCAGTCGTAATAGTTGTCAATTTTTTAATACTTTAGCATAATCAACTCTTTTGAGAAATTATTTGTTTTATATATGAAACTTGATGAAAATCTATCCAAAAATAGATGATATCGATCATGTAAAGTGTCTAAGAGTTTCTTCGCTGATATTTTGTTCATTAATAGACTGCATCTCATAAGTATTTATTACTTTTTTAGATTTTACGTTTGTTTGTACGATAAATAAAAGAATAGATTTTTGAAATCGGATTTAGAGTATTCAGAACACATTAAATTTATATCTTACATTTGATTATTAACATTTATTAATTTATATTTTAAATATAATTAGTTTATTCTTTTTAATCTATTTAAATAAATACAAACCAGAGGATGCATCATGGTCAGTTGTGATATTCGTTTTAATTCTACGCTGTTTAGTTAGCTCAGCTCATGCACCAATTTCAAATCTACTAGATTCAGTAACATTTTCAATACTTGGATCAGGAAAGGCACATTTCTACGGTAGATCAAGAGCACTAGGATCATTTGGTTTTATGATTGGTTCTCTATTAACTGGTTTTGCAGTATATCAGTATACATCAATAAATTATCATCATACAATAAATGAAACAAATCTGAATCTTTTATACTATACTAATAATTCATTAAATATCAACTCAGTGAATCCGAATTATATACCAGCAATTATAATCGCTTCATTATCAGTTGGCATTGGTACAATTGCATCAATATTTTGTAACTATGATAATACAAAATCTGTAGAAACACATTTTACAAAAGCATTAACCACAGCAATACGTTCACCAACAATGATTCAATGTTTAGTGGTTGCATTTATGACTGGTTTGATTATATCATTTGTTGCTGAATATAATTATCTTATTCTCACCACGATCTATCATGTACCACATTATTTCCTAGGTTTATTAACAACTATAGCTATTATTGTAGAAATACCAACATTATTATTTATTTCAGGTATCACTGTAAAACGCTTTGGTGTGATTGCATGTCAAGTAATTTCACAAATCATGTTAACTATACATTTCATATTTTATACTTATTCAACAAATTATTGGTATCTCTTAATTGGTGAAATTGCTTACGGTATATCTTATCCAATCTTAATGAATGCTTTATTATTACAAACGGAAAAAGTTAGTTTTGAAAAAATAAATGAGAATTATCAAATTTTAGCTAGTTTACAAGCTATACTAACAAGTACTATGTATGGTTTAAGTAGTAGTTTAGGTGGATTAATATGGGGTTTATTATTACAATATTTTAAAGCACGTACATTATTTTTTATAGCATTTATTTACACTTCAATTTGTGCATTATTTTTTCCATTTGTTGCATATTATTTAAACAAATTAAAATGTTAAATATTTTAAGTGTACTTAGATTTTTTTTCTAGCTCACACTAATTAAACCTATTGTGATTATAATTTATTCATAATAAATATTATCAAATTCAATGCAAAATAAACTGTTCTGTAGAGATCTATTATAAAAATATAAATTGGGGTGTTCAGAAAGTGAAAAAAAAAATTTTGTTTTCTAAACTACATATATTTATCATTAGATGATTCTATGTAGAAGAAAAATTGATGAAATATTTTTCTTTTTGTCAATAATTCCTTTTAATGGACTTTTAATAAATAAATGCGTTTCATCTGATCTTTTCATACAATTTCCTAAAGAGAATTTCTACTTAATTACAACATGTACAAATATTTAAATTATGTGAAATAGACCAAGTATGATTGTTTTTTTTTCTTTGAATTAGGCGCATTGTTTCTTTAGTAATAAGAAAAATGCATGAACTGAGATGGTTAAGGTTTTTTATTATTATTATTATTATTATTATTATTATCATCCAACATGCCTCATTATACTTCACCAGATAAACTAAAAAGCAAAACAAATTTCAAGCGTGTAAAATAGGGGATTCTATCAAATATAATAGTAGCAAATGTAAAGTACACACTAGGAATTCCTAGATCTGTCTAAAATGTTCATAAGTCACAAAAGGATCAGCACTCAAATAAATCAGAACACATACATAACTTCGTGCATCCCACTGGGATGAGAAAACTTCGAGGAACAACATCGCTTCGCATTAAACTTTGAATAGAGAGAGCAACATGTTTAGAAGTATGTATTTGTGAAGATGAAGTTATAACTTGAAATGACTAGCAGACGATACCTAATTAATTCAATTTACTACACGTAAACCTAAGTAAAACTGAAACATTTAAATTAAATTGACTGTCCGTAAAAGTTAGTTAATAATCAAGCATCAAGGCTTTCAGTGACCTTCATGGAAATTAATAAACACAACAAAACCCTGACGGGTAATTTATCGTATCGTCAAACAGTTTCATTACTCATCAAGCCAGAGATATGGCTGCTATGCATAAGATATAAAGTTTCCACATAGTGTCGTCATAAATCTAATCATGGAAACTGATAATCAGTCAATACTGAACTCCGTTGAGCTTATCAGTGAGACATAAACAAATACAAATTACTGCCTCGCTCTCGCTCTCTCTTCGTGATCCAATCCCATCATCAATCCACACACTATCACCTGTCAAATAAAAACAATCGTCAGAACTGTTCCTCAGAGATCTTGGTGAAAATCACTAATCAACACTGTTATCTAGCATCATTCAAACTAAACCAACACCATCAGAAAATTGACGGACTCACCTCACAATTCTCACAAGTAGAAAACTCAAGTCAACCACATCGACCATCACGATACCTGGCACAATCAACAGACAATCTCGATATGCCAATCCAAAATCAAGTTCACAATCTCACATCTACTCTATGTCGCATTCCTTCGTATTCACACTGTTTTTCACTGCCTCTTTCCTGTACATTTGAACAAATCACTCAGTCAACACCACACAACACACACCTGAAATAGGAAATACAAAACAAAAATGCATAAACACCATCGCCTCATCAACTAACATCAGACAGTAATGATATCATTGTATCACAAGTAGCAAATAAACATCACTAACAAACAAACAAAAAGAACAACACAACATACCTGTGTCATCGTGACGCATGACCGATAGGATCGCTTCACTAGGCCACATCATATCTCCACATTGCCAATCGCTCATGACCTCCAAACTACTCTCTCGCTCGCTCGCTCGCTCTCTCGCTCTCTTCGTGATCCAATCCCATCATCAATCCACACACTATCACCTGTCAAATAAAAACAATCGTCAGAACTATTCCTCAGAGATCTTGGTGAAAATCACTAATCAACACTGTTATCTAGCATCATTCAAACTAAACCAACACCATCAGAAAATTGACGGACTCACCTCACAATTCTCACAAGTAGAAAACTCAAGTCAACCACATCGACCATCACGATACCTGGCACAATCAACAGACAATCTCGATATGCCAATCCAAAATCAAGTTCACAATCTCACATCTACTCTATGTCGCATTCCTTCGTATTCACACTGTTTTTCACTGCCTCTTTCCTGTACATTTGAACAAATCACTCAGTCAACACCACACAACACACACCTGAAATAGGAAATACAAAACAAAAATGCATAAACACCATCGCCTCATCAACTAACATCAGACAGTAATGATATCATTGTATCACAAGTAGCAAATAAACATCACTAACAAACAAACAAAAAGAACAACACAACATACCTGTGTCATCGTGACGCATGACCGATAGGATCGCTTCACTAGGCCACATCATATCTCCACATTGCCAATCGCTCATGACCTCCAAACTACTCTCTCTCGCTCGCTCTCTCGCTCTCTTCGTGATCCAATCCCATCATCAATCCACACACTATCACCTGTCAAATAAAAACAATCGTCAGAACTGTTCCTCAGAGATCTTGGTGAAAATCACTAATCAACACTGTTATCTAGCATCATTCAAACTAAACCAACACCATCAGAAAATTGACGGACTCACCTCACAATTCTCACAAGTAGAAAACTCAAGTCAACCACATCGACCATCACGATACCTGGCACAATCAACAGACAATCTCGATATGCCAATCCAAAATCAAGTTCACAATCTCACATCTACTCTATGTCGCATTCCTTCGTATTCTCACTGTTTTTCACTGCCTCTTTCCTGTACATTTGAACAAATCACTCAGTCAACACCACACAACACACACCTGAAATAGGAGATACAAAACAAAAATGCATAAACACCATCGCCTCATCAACTAACATCAGACAGTAATGATATCATTGTATCACAAGTAGCAAATAAACATCACTAACAAACAAACAAAAAGAACAACACAACATACCTGTGTCATCGTGACGCATGACCGATAGGATCGCTTCACTAGGCCACATCATATCTCCACATTGCCAATCGCTCATGACCTCCAAACTACTCTCTCTCGCTCGCTCTCTCGCTCTCTTCGTGATCCAATCCCATCATCAATCCACACACTATCACCTGTCAAATAAAAACAATCGTCAGAACTGTTCCTCAGAGATCTTGGTGAAAATCACTAATCAACACTGTTATCTAGCATCATTCAAACTAAACCAACACCATCAGAAAATTGACGGACTCACCTCACAATTCTCACAAGTAGAAAACTCAAGTCAACCACATCGACCATCACGATACCTGGCACAATCAACAGACAATCTCGATATGCCAATCCAAAATCAAGTTCACAATCTCACATCTACTCTATGTCGCATTCCTTCGTATTCACACTGTTTTTCACTGCCTCTTTCCTGTACATTTGAACAAATCACTCAGTCAACACCACACAACACACACCTGAAATAGGAAATACAAAACAAAAATGCATAAACACCATCGCCTCATCAACTAACATCAGACAGTAATGATATCATTGTATCACAAGTAGCAAATAAACATCACTAACAAACAAAAAAAAGAACAACACAACATACCTGTGTCATCGTGACGCATGACCGATAGGATCGCTTCACTAGGCCACATCATATCTCCACATTGCCAATCGCTCATGACCTCCAAACTACTCTCTCTCGCTCGCTCGCTCGCTCGCTCTCTCGCTCTCTTCGTGATCCAATCCCATCATCAATCCACACACTATCACCTGTCAAATAAAAACAATCGTCAGAACTGTTCCTCAGAGATCTTGGTGAAAATCACTAATCAACACTGTTATCTAGCATCATTCAAACTAAACCAACACCATCAGAAAATTGACGGACTCACCTCACAATTCTCACAAGTAGAAAACTCAAGTCAACCACATCGACCATCACGATACCTGGCACAATCAACAGACAATCTCGATATGCCAATCCAAAATCAAGTTCACAATCTCACATCTACTCTATGTCGCATTCCTTCGTATTCACACTGTTTTTCACTGCCTCTTTCCTGTACATTTGAACAAATCACTCAGTCAACACCACACAACACACACCTGAAATAGGAGATACAAAACAAAAATGCATAAACACCATCGCCTCATCAACTAACATCAGACAGTAATGATATCATTGTATCACAAGTAGCAAATAAACATCACTAACAAACAAACAAAAAGAACAACACAACATACCTGTGTCATCGTGACGCATGACCGATAGGATCGCTTCACTAGGCCACATCATATCTCCACATTGCCAATCGCTCATGACCTCCAAACTACTCTCTCTCGCTCGCTCTCTCGCTCTCTTCGTGATCCAATCCCATCATCAATCCACACACTATCACCTGTCAAATAAAAACAATCGTCAGAACTATTCCTCAGAGATCTTGGTGAAAATCACTAATCAACACTGTTATCTAGCATCATTCAAACTAAACCAACACCATCAGAAAATTGACGGACTCACCTCACAATTCTCACAAGTAGAAAACTCAAGTCAACCACATCGACCATCACGATACCTGGCACAATCAACAGACAATCTCGATATGCCAATCCAAAATCAAGTTCACAATCTCACATCTACTCTATGTCGCATTCCTTCGTATTCTCACTGTTTTTCACTGCCTCTTTCCTGTACATTTGAACAAATCACTCAGTCAACACCACACAACACACACCTGAAATAGGAGATACAAAACAAAAATGCATAAACACCATCGCCTCATCAACTAACATCAGACAGTAATGATATCATTGTATCACAAGTAGCAAATAAACATCACTAACAAACAAACAAAAAGAACAACACAACATACCTGTGTCATCGTGACGCATGACCGATAGGATCGCTTCACTAGGCCACATCATATCTCCACATTGCCAATCGCTCATGACCTCCAAACTACTCTCTCTCGCTCGCTCTCTCGCTCTCTTCGTGATCCAATCCCATCATCAATCCACACACTATCACCTGTCAAATAAAAACAATCGTCAGAACTGTTCCTCAGAGATCTTGGTGAAAATCACTAATCAACACTGTTATCTAGCATCATTCAAACTAAACCAACACCATCAGAAAATTGACGGACTCACCTCACAATTCTCACAAGTAGAAAACTCAAGTCAACCACATCGACCATCACGATACCTGGCACAATCAACAGACAATCTCGATATGCCAATCCAAAATCAAGTTCACAATCTCACATCTACTCTATGTCGCATTCCTTCGTATTCTCACTGTTTTTCACTGCCTCTTTCCTGTACATTTGAACAAATCACTCAGTCAACACCACACAACACACACCTGAAATAGGAAATACAAAACAAAAATGCATAAACACCATCGCCTCATCAACTAACATCAGACAGTAATGATATCATTGTATCACAAGTAGCAAATAAACATCACTAACAAACAAAAAAAAGAACAACACAACATACCTGTGTCATCGTGACGCATGACCGATAGGATCGCTTCACTAGACCACATCATATCTCCACATTGCCAATCGCTCATGACCTCCAAACTACTCTCTCTCGCTCGCTCTCTCGCTCTCTTCGTGATCCAATCCCATCATCAATTCACACACTATCACCTGTCAAATAAAAACAATCGTCAGAACTATTCCTCAGAGATCTTGGTGAAAATCACTAATCAACACTGTTATCTAGCATCATTCAAACTAAACCAACACCATCAGAAAATTGACGGACTCACCTCACAATTCTCACAAGTAGAAAACTCAAGTCAACCACATCGACCATCACGATACCTGGCACAATCAACAGACAATCTCGATATGTGTTGGGATACTCAGAAGAATATCCCAGAAACAATTATCCGGTTAAGTCTAATGCTACCCTTGAACGTTAAATGGTGTCATTTCCCTATTGGTCGTTTCCCTACTGATCAATATTTATTTCGCGTGTCATTTTCCTATTGGTCAATATTATTTAACGTGTCATCTTTTTGTTGGTCAATATTTATAGTAATCCTAACTGTATAAATATGCATTTGTTTGTAAGTCATTATTCTGCTGCTCCTGACCCCATAAACGATTTTCATCTACGGTTCGTGTTCTGATATATTGGAGATTGGGAACAGTATTGGGGTCGAACTGGGATATCTGAAGCTAGTCAATCGGTAGAATTTAGA